TCCAGAATATTCCAGATTCTTCCTAGAACATACTACTACCAGGCACTTGAATTTATTGCAGGTCTCATTTCTTTTAGGCCTTTTCTCAAAGCTCATCTTATCAGAGAAGTATTTCTTGTCTGTCCCAAGTGAAATAATATCTCCATCACCCTGTTTTAATTTTCTTCATAATGCTTATTATCCTGACATATGTCTATTTATCTGTCTTCCCTCACCAGGTAAACTTAGTAAGAATAGTGATGTTGTCTGTTTGGTTTCCTGCTAAGTCCTAGAACCATGTGATGCATGGTAAGTGCTCAGTGAACAAGTGAGATAGTAAATTCAAAACAGCCTCCATAGGCTGGCCATGGTGAAGCATGCCTGTAATCCCAGCACTCTGGGAGGCTGAGGCAGGAAGATCACTGAGAGTTCCAGGCCAGCCTAGGCTACAGAGTTCAAAGCCAACTTGAACTACATAGTAAGACCCGGTCTCAAAACACAGCTCCAAAGCCCCCAAGCATGATATTCGTATCTCACAAGGTATAAACAGCTTCATCAGCACTGGTCACAACATAACTATTCTGTACAGCACTGACAATAAGAAAACTGCTATTTTTTGTGTGCATTTATTATGTCCCTACCAAGCACTGTGCCAGAGCTTTTTATGTCTCAATCCAAGAACTCATTGAATAGGACCATTAATATCCCTAGCTACATAGTAGCAAATGGCAGTAATGGGATATAAATTCTGGTCTGCTGGATAAGAGTCCACACTTTACATTATGGATAATTACAAAAGTAAAAAAAAAATCTGATGACCGAGCTAGGCGTGGTGGCATATGCCTGTAATCTCAGCACTCAGGAGGCTGAGGCAGGAGGACTGCTGCAAGTTTGAGGCCAGCCTGGGGCCTGGGCTACAAAGTGAGTTCAAGACCAGCCTGAACTGCACAGTGAGACCCTGTCTCAAAAAAACAAAAAAACCGTAAAAAACTGATAACCATATCAAATGAAAAATTGAAACTCAAGCTGAGGGGTGTCTAGGAATAATAATTATCTTTAATTATAATTATTTTAGGCATTTCTATGGAAAAGAATTTGATTTGATGTTACTTTGGAACGTAGGACATACAGCAATGTGCAGAGGTTACAGGAAGACAGGTTTTGACTCAGTGAGTCAAATTATTATTAGAACTGCCTCACAGTAGCCCAGATTGCTTCTTAAGGTGGTAATTCTCCAGCACAAAATTTTCAGTATGTGTGCTGCTGACACGAGCACATTACAACATTTTCAAATGGGGAAGTTGAGTCGTGATTGATCAGGCATGTTCTAAAAGGGATTTTTTTCAAAGAGACTAGCGTAGCTATCTTTGAAATTCTGTCTCCATGATTCTATGAAATGTAGGAACTAATAAAAATCAGGGGTTACATTTTTAAATATTATAGGTAAGGAGTAAAGCCATTTGTAACAAAATAAATCAACCTGACTATATCCATGTCCATACTGAAGAGTAGGAAGAGTTCATTCTCACAGTAATAAATTAAATAAATAAGTGCTTTTTTTTTTTTTTTTTTTTTTTTTTTGGTACCGGGAATCAAACTCATGACCTTCCGAATGCCAGGCAGGCACTGTGCCACTGAGCTGTATCCCTGGCCTGAAATAAGTGCTTTTAGGGAGAGGTTTTTAAAAAAGGGAGGCAGACTTGGAGGTAAGTTCCTTGAGGGCAGGCACAAACAACATTCTGTTCATCTTTGAGTTCCTTAGTCTCTTACATCTAACAGGCATTTGTTTGAATAACTGGATTCATTTATCAATTAGAATGGCCACTGTCTGAAGAAGTGGCTCTCTACTCCCCAGTCAGGGTCTTTCCTGTAAATTTCTTTCTATTGCTTAGTGAAACTGAACACTGATTGTATTTATGAGAAGAGGAAAGCAGGGAGCTGCCATGAAAATTATCTTTTTGACGATGATTTGAGAGGAAAATCTTAAAGCTCTACCATTGGTTCATTCAGTGATCACGAGGGAGCTCACTGTGGCTTGCGTTAATTTTTTTTTCTTTGAGAAAATGGAGGTAGGGTGGAAAAGAAAGACAAGGAAAGATTCTCATCATTCAAAAGGATGGAGAAGGAAAAGAAGGGAAACAAATGAATGGATTTGTGGATTGTCCAGATGCTCTCCCTCACCTTTTCCCTCATTTTTTCACTACTTTTTTTTCTTCAGTCAGGATCTCCCTGTGTAGTCAAGTTGGCCATTGCTTATGTAGCCCCTGGCTGGCCTTGAACTCAGTGATTCTCCCGCCTCAGCCTCCCAAATCCTGGGATTACAGGCATTCACTACCATGTCCGGCTCTGCCCTACTTTCTTAATGTTAAGTATTTGTTATCTTTTACCTCTGTCCTCAACACCCAAAGCAGTGAACTAGAAGAATTAGAGATATTTAAACTCAAAGCCTTGCTTTCATCAAAAACTTGGTGGGAAAAGGAAACTGGACATAACGGCCAAAGTGAATGTTTCAAAGCAGTTGTAAATTGAAGTGGCCTGGGCTGCTCACTTCTTTTGTATTTCATGATCATAGACAATGAGGTGTTGGCTTGGTGTATCGACTAAGTGCTAGAATATGTGAAATGAAGCAATATGAGATATGGAAAAGTCAGAAGCAGCAGTTCTCTATGGAGGAAATCCTCTAATGGTCCAGAGACCCACAGGATATTGGCTATGCCCAGCTCTTTCAGCCTGTAATCAGACTGATCACTGGCCCTTTCCTTTCCTAAAGGTACCCTTCCGCTGTCAAATAGGCCAGTGTAATATAGTGGACCAAGATGAACATGGCATCAACCAGACATTGGTTCAAATCCTCCTGCTGCCCTTACTAGTTCATTTGGCTTTGGCCAACTTATTTTATCTCCTTTGGCTTCAGTTTCCTCATCTGATGAATAGAAGTAATTATACCTACACCAAGAGTTATTTGTTAGGATTAAATAAAATGTAAATAAAAGGATAACATTTTCCCCTTTTTCCACTAATGTTCCCTCTTTAAAAAATCACTATATTATGTTTTATATAATCTACTTTCCCAAGGACTCGGGAACTGTACTTAGAGAACGGAAGCTGTTGGAAAGAGGGCATAAGAAGAAATCTAAGAGAATCATGGGTTGCTCATGTGATCACAAAAGGGATTTCAATTTTGCAAACTTAGAACTCAAAAAATAGAGATGCAATAGGTGAAACGGAGAAAGACAGTCAAGAATGAGCCTTGGGAATAAGTGGGAACATAGTTAATGGATGTGAAGATGTGCTGTCTGGATTGTTTCCCTGAAAAGACAGCTCCTTTCTTATACGGAGAGCACACAGGGCTCTGCTCATTTCAGTGTATCTCTTACAGAGGAGGAAAAAAGAAAAGCCATTTTCCTCACCCTCAATACTGGAATCCAATACTCAAACCTTCTGGATTGTCTGAGGGACAGAATCCCTTAAGAAACATGAAAGTTCTTAGGCTGACAGCAACTCCCATTCACTTCCCCCAACCTGAACTGTAGTAGCCAAGAGGAAGAGGGAGGCCAATTTAACTTAATTAATTTATTTGACCAGGGAGCACAGTTTAAAAAGTTTGCTCTCTATAGTAGATTCTGGAGCAATTCCCAAAGAGGAAAAAAAAATCTTGCATCTCGAGCTTGTTTTTCTTATCTTCTTCCCTATTTTCTACTCCACTTTCTGCCCCAAGGAGGGTTAAAACTGATCCCGGAGCTCCTAGGGTGGGTCGGGGAGCAGCCGCTCAGGGGTGACGTAATGCTTTCTCTGGTACACAAAGCGGCCTCCCCGGGGCTGGCCTCCCCCGCCCCGCCCCCTACCCCCCAGCACCAGCGCGGGTGAGTCCCCCGTTTTAAAAAGGCAGCCCAAGGAAACAGGGAACAAAGGCCCCGGAAGGAGAGCCTAGGCGCTGCCAGGAGGCCCAGAAATAGACATCACGTCATCCCCTAGCCCAGCAGCGCCAAGCGCCATTTGGTAGCATCCGACGGACCCCACCATTACGATGCAGAACGGAGCTCGCAGGCCTCACGTTTCCTCTTAGCTCCAGCATCCAGCTGACCAGCTTTGGGAGTGGTTTCCCTTTGGCTCTCCACCCCCGCACCCCTCTTTCCTCAGAGGCCGCCGCCTCCCCTGGCTGCCAGCCACGCAGCCTACAGTCTCGAAGCTGCCATCTTGGTGCCCCATCCCCCCCCCCCGGTGCACCTCCCTCCCCCGCAGCCCTTAGCAGGGGAGGGGGAGGAAAGGGCACCGCCCTGCGTGCCCCGAGGGGGAGGGCTCGACCTACCCCCCCTCTCCTCCCCCAGAAGGAGGGGTTCCCGTCCTCCGCATGCTCGCCATTCCTCACCTCCAGCAGCGCTGACAGTGCACCGCACAAGGTTCAGCATCCTGGACTTCCCTGGCTTTGCCAGTCCCTGCAGCCCACAACTCAAATGCGGGCGCTGTCCACCGCCTGCTACCCACCACCATAGGTCCGATTCCGGCGGGCCTAGCACTCTGAAGGGCCCCCCTCCTTGTCGTCACCCCTGCTCACTGCGGTGCCCTTTGCTTTGCAATGGTGTGACCACGGCGAGCTCTGTTTGCCCCACTCTACTTACCAAAGGAAGGTCGGATGTTGGTGATCTCAGCCATGTCGTAATCAGAGGCTGTTGCTATTAAATGCAACGGTCAGGTAACTCTGGGAACCCCCCGCCAGTACCGAGGCTGCAGCTTTAGATCTCTAGGTCTGGGTGGGGGAAGGTATCTTGCAGACGTCTCTTGCGACGGTCCAGTCCCTGGTTGCCAGCTGCGCACTCCTCTTAAGATGCTCCAGGGACGCTCTGAGCTCAGGATGCAGGTGCAGTCAGACTGGTCCTGATGCGAGACAGGCTCCGCCTTTTTCCGAACGGTCTTCGGCAAAAGACTCCGCCTCTGCCGAAAGGTTCCGGAAGACAGGTCCGGCCCCTTTCCGGAAGCTATCAGAGGGGACACTTCCCGCCCCCTCGCTGTCGCGAGAATGAGGCCCCGCCCACTAACGGATTGTGGGTCCTTGGGAAGAAGAGACTACTGTAGATAAACATCACATGTGCTTTTATAGATCCTGTGGTTCTAGGTCCTCTGGCTTTTGGGAAAGAAAATTCTACACTACCAATGTTACACATTTCTGAGACCACTAAAGGTAATTATGGAAACTTTCTTACATTTCGAAGCTTTGAATAAAAACTAATCTCGGGGATGGTTGCACAACTCTGAAAATGTACTAAAAATCATTTAATTGTACACGTATAACAGATGATGTGAATCGAAGCGGTTTAAAAATAAAAGATTAGCCGAGCGTGGTGGCGCACACCTCTAATCCCAGCATTTGGGAAGCTGAGACAAGGAGGATCGCTGTGAATTCAAAGCCATTCTGAGCTACATAGTGAGCTCAAGTGAAGCCTGAACTACACAGCGAGATCCTGTCTCAAAAAAAAAAAAAAATTTTTTTTTTTTGTAAAAATAAAAGACTAATGAAAAAACCAAAGTTAATCAGTGTTGAACATTCCTCTTCCATGAGCTTCGAGTGCTTAAAGCTGTTTAGGAGAGGGGATGGGGGCAAATCAAAAAATCTGTGTATTCCTCAGGTCCAGAGGAGAGCTCAGATAAAACTCTAAACTTCTGGGAATCTTCCTTGGAGTTTGGAAGAGTTGATATGTTTTAGGATGGTCAGACTACTACTGGCAATTGTAGCCATTATTTCACCCTTCATTTTGGCTGTAGATACTTTTATCCTGTCGGATTCGGTTTACAGCCAGATCAGTTCAGTGCAGCAGAAATATTTGTTGGTGGCTCACTTGTAAAATGAGGGAGCCGAATGAATTTTTCCAGCTTTTATGCCCTTCTAGAAAAGTGGAAAGAACATGATCCCCCGAGTCATTCATTCCTTCAAGAAAGCGTGGAGTTATTGAACATTGACTACGCCCCAGCCCCAGGCATTTTTCTGAGCTCTGGGTCAATGCCTTACAGTTACCTAAAATCCAGATTGACGATTCCCCTTGACAACCATGTAGCTTTGTGAAATCACCTACCCAGCTGAGGCAGAACTGTGTCCTCTGCAAAGAGGAAAATGAAATACATAATATCCACTGGACCACAGGGTTTATTGTGGAGACCAGACCACCTAATAGAAGAAAGTATTTTGTGAAATGCAAACTATTACATAGATATGAAAAATTGCTGTAGTTGAATTCCAAATCCGCCTCAATTTTAATCGGGAACCTGCACTATTTGTAACCTAGAGATTCCTTTCTGAAATTTTATGAATTCTCTTTTTCTACTTATGTTTCACATGTCTCTCGGAGAGAATAATTACTTGTCAAACAAAGCACTGAATCTCAGTCCCCACTTTTTAGTAAGATAGCTCTCCACCGGTAGGGAAAGTGAATTGATGCCTTTACTTTTTTTTTTTTTCTGCCAGGAAATGACGCGATAGCGCCGTGGCTTCATTTGGCCCTAAATAAGATGGCTCCTAGCGTTTGGCGCATGCTCTTTGACGCCGTCCGTGGCCGCGCACCGCGCTTCGGGGATGCGCACGTCAGTCGCTGCCGTTGTCTGACTTCCGCTGTTGCTGAAACCGAGTTTCCGCGGGATCAGGCCGGCTTGTGAGTGTACTGTGTCGTGTGTGGTGGGCGGGAAGAGGCAAGGATGGACCCGGGACACTGGGCAGAGCGTGCTCAGAATGAGGGGCTCTGCTCTGAGGGTGGGTGCGAGCTGCGTGCCGGGAGTTAGGGGTGCACAGTGTTTAATTCGTGCTGGGGACTTGGGCCGGCTTTCCGTGTAGAGGTGGAAGGCACAGTTAGGACCCATTTTTAAAATGTTTTCTGAGGAAGAGGCAGCACTGGGGCTGCCTCCAGGTTGGCATTCATTCCCCTAATGTTGGACCGACTGAAGTTCCCAAAGGAGCGGACTCTTCAGAGCTACTGCTATGTTTGAGGTGCCTGCAGTCGATTCCTGAACCCTGCTGATTTTTGAATAGTAGCTTTCTTAGCTTTTTACTTTCTTCCCTTTATCTTTTCTGGACTTGAGTAACTCACCTGTGGAATAAAGGAGTCGCCTAGATTATTCATACTCCCTCCGTACCCACTCACCACCCTCCCTCGCAGGAATCAACGAGTCTTCCCTTAGTCCACCCTGTTACCTGGGCATTCAGACTTGGCTTAAACATTGCCAGTGATGGAGAACTCACTGAAACACCAGGCAGCTTATTCTCTTCTTGGACCTGTTGATTGATTGATTGATTGGTACCGGGAATCGAACTTAGGACCTTGCACTTGCCAGGCAGGCACTTGTGCTGCTGAACTATATCCCCAACCCCTCTTGGACCTATTTATGAGAATAATGTTTTCTTAGAAAGCTACAGCCAGTTCCCAAGTAGTACTTAATGCTTGTTCCAGATTCTATCCAGTTTAAGTCCCCTTTATTATTCAAGAAACCTACGATAGGTATCTGCAGTACCTAGATACTGCTGGATACTAATGGTACCAGTTGAAGGACTCCTTTATCTCAACAAGTTCATAGTTTTGGAGGAGGGAGACAGACAAGTACAGATACTTAGAAAAGTAAGTACTTTACTGTAAAAGTGGTTTGCAGACAGTTCCCCTAAGAACATAAAAGATGCCCTCCAGATTAGGTCAGTGCTGCCTTTAAAAATGTGATAACTACAAATTAAGCCAAGAGTCCACAAGTAATACAGAGAACAGTAAAATCTCCTTCTCTTGTTTTAACACAAAATCTGTTAAAGTAGCCAATCTTCTAAAGTAGCCACTTTGCTGGGCGTGGTGGAGCACGCTTGTAATCCCAGCACTTAGGAGGCTGAGGCAGAGGATCGTTGCAAGTTCGAGACCAGCCTGGTCTATGAGGTGATTTCAAGGCCAGCCTGAACTGCATAGCGAGACCCTGCCTCAAAAAGACAAAAAAACAAAAACAAAAACAAAAAAAAAACCAAAAAGCCACTTTGCTTTTAACGAAAGTACCTGTTTATGAAAACACCAACAGCAAATACTTATTAATCGCCTACTATCTAATGATGTAGGTGCTGTTTTTATTTCATTTTATGTTGTGCTTGCTTCGGCAGCACATATATTAAAATATTTCATTTTATAGCTGCAGAAGCAGATTCAGGTTAAGTAACTTAGGAATGTCATACGAATGGAGAGATGACTTGGGAAACAAATCCAGACAGTTTGACTTCACACTTAGCTTTCAGCATCAGGCTGTTTTCCTTCTCTGATTTTTAGTTTCCTGATTTAGTAACTGAAAACAGCTTACTATTTAATATGTATAACAACTCTATGAGGTAAGAACAATTACCTTTTTTTTTATTTTAACAGTTGAAGAAATAAGTTTAGAGAGGTTAAGTCACTTGGCAGATATAATGTACTAATCAGTAGTAGAGTTGAGATTTGAACTCATTCTAATCATTTCTCATTTTCGACCTGAAGGAATAGTGTGCATTTGGGGTAGAATATTCATGATTAGACATGAATGAAAATGAAAAGATAATTGAGTAAATGTTATTACTGTTAATTAACATGAAGGTAATCAGAACTTGCTTTTATCCTTTTAGGATGGAACAAAAGTGGGACTTTAAAAATGTTGCCCTGTAAGAAGAGAAGAACTACAGTGACAGAGAACTCCCAGGATAGGAGCAGCCAGGAGGAAGACAACTTAGAACAAGAGTCAGCTTTTAAACCAGAATCTGACCAGGTCACTGACTTGGGGTCAGTACCACTGTCCTGGGGCCCAAGTCAGGGTAGAGCAGTTGGAGTTGAAGTTCAGTCTGTGCAGAATGCAGGAAATCAGCCTGGTGTGGAGGCGCCATCTTTGAGTTCTAGGATACTCACCCAGGAAACAAATTTACCAAGTTTAGAAGGTGTCGATGAGGCCATTTCTCAGGGCATCACCCTAACTTCCTTGGAGTCTTCCCACTCTCCTAACGTACACATCAGTAAAGGAAAACTCCAGGCTACTGCTTCAAGGAGAGGGAAGAAAGTTGTCCTCAGACCTGGACTAGAAACCCAAGAAGATAGAAGTGATCGTCCTATCATAAAGAAGCCCTTTCCAGGAGAGCCTAGTGAAGAAGTCAAGGAGGAAGGAGGTAAGATATGAAAGGTTTTTAGGCTCCATTTTCCATTTTAGTGTGAGCATCCCTAACCCTAAAACCAAAACCTGACATGCTCCAAAATCCAAAACTTTCTTGAGTGGTGGCATGATACTACAAGTGGAAAATTCCACACCTGACTTTGTGTGGAGGGTTGTAGTGAAAATGCAAGTGTACTAAAAATATCTTGTGAAATTACTTCTTGGGAGACAGAGGCAGGATGGTCAAAAAGTTTGAACCCAGCCTTGACAACTTAGCAACTTGGACCCTGTTTCAAAATAAAAAATAAGCCAGGTGTGGTGGCGCACGCTGGTAATCCCAGCATTCGGGAGGCTGAGGTAGGAGGATTGTTCTGAGTTCGAGACCAGCCTGGGCTACAGAGTGAATTCATGGCCAGCCTGAACTGCATAGCGAGACCCTGTCTCAAAAAAGGCAAAAAAAAAAAAAAAAGCAGGGCATGATAGTGCATGCTTGTAATCCTGGCACTCAGGAGGCCGAGGCAGAAGGACCACCCTGAGTTGGAGGCCAGCCTATATTATATAGTGAGACCCTGTCTCAAAAAACAAACAACCCAAAATAAAAAGTAAAAGAGAGCCTAGTAACACAACACCCCCGCAAAGGGAAAAACCCCCAAAAAACAATTACCTTCAGGTGTCGGGCACAGTGTTTTTTGTTTTTTGTTTTTTTTTTGGTCTTTTTGAGACAGGGTCTCGCTGTGGAGTTCAGGCTGGCCTTGAGCTCACTTTGTAGCCCAGGCTAGTCTCAAACTTGCAACGATCTTGCCTCAGCCTCCTGAGTGCTGGGATTACAGGCGTATGCCACTTCGCCCGGCAGGCACAGTGTTCTACTCCTGTAATCCCAGCTCCTGAGCCAGGGCTGTGATGGAGTGGGTGTGAGGAGGTTGGAGCCTAAGGCAGGAGAAATGCAAGTTCTAGCCTCTTCTGGTGGTTTAGCAGCTCAGTGAGATGCTGTCTCAGAAAAGGGCTGGTGTGGTGGCACATTTTCATAATCTCAGCACTCCATAGGCTGAGAAGGGAGGATGGCAAGTCTGAGGTCAGATTGAGCTGTATGGTGGGATTCTGTCGCAAAAAAAACAAAAGAAAAAAACAAAACAAAACAAAAGAAATAGCTATTTAAAATAAAAT